CCTGAATATCCGACCCGAGGTCGCCGTCAGCGTACAGCAGTGCCGGGAGCCTGCTGCTGGAGGTCAGCGGCGCAGATATTTGCACTCCTCGTTACGTGCAAGTAACGTTTCCAGAAGCGCCCGAACCGAAACTACGCTGTTCTTCGGGGAAACGCCCGGCCCGGAGCGGCTCCCCCCGGCCGGGCTCTCCCCTTTGGCTTTTGTTTCCCCGGCGGCCCCGCTCCTCCCCAGCCTGTCTGAAACTCGGCGGTGCTTCCTCCGCACCAGGCGGCCCTTCACCCCCCTCGGGTAGCAGGAGGTCGGAGGTTCCTCATTGCCGGGCTCTGAAAAGTTACTGCTGCTGACGACGAATGGCACAGTAATGACGAGGGACAGGTTTTACAGCTCTGCTGCGTCTCCTTGTTGTCGCACGCGTTGGGCAGTTTGTGTTAGTAGCAGAAACGAGAAGTACGTTAAAGCCTGAAAAAGGAAAGCCGCAAACAATGTTTTTAACAGCTAGGCAAAAAAGTCTTGTTTTCAGAGAAATCATGTTAGATACCTGTTAGACATAAGCTCTTAACTTTTCATTATCATTTTCAACTGGCGTTACGGGTGTGGTTTTATAGTCTGAATAAGGATGTTCTGCGATGAATTGGGTGGTGATTGAGGGCATGTTTGAGTCTTAATACATTTTTCCTAAACAGACAGCATTTTAAAAGATCAGAGAGCTGTTGTATCAACATATCTAAGATGCCCTGCTCAAGTGATTCCAAACCTGGATGTTTGACCCTTCCTTCTAGTTTCAAAGCAGTTTTCAAAGCTTAGGTCTTTGCTTGTGATTTGTTGGATTTCACTACAGTGTCTTATATTGTCCACGTAGCAAGGCGGCAGCAGTGTGTGCTGGCTTTTCAGCGGTTTTGTTAAAAGCTTGGGCTGCTCACTGAAATTGGTGGCAGCTTTAAAATTCTGCTGAAGAGCTGTGGTTGCTGAGGGAGTCAGCATGTGTCTGCTCTAACTGGGGGAATAGCAGCAGGGGGTAGTACCCGCGAAGCTTTCTGAAAGAGGTTGTTAGAGCTCTTAAGGTAAACAGAAAGCACAACTCAACCTTGGATGCAAGTGCTAATGTCATTCTCTAGTTAGTATTTCTGAAGACTAGATGATGTTATTAGCTTATGTGGAATACCTACTCTGTGTAAAAGAGAAAAGCAAATGTCTAGATTGTTATCTGTGATATTAAGCTTGGACAGTAGCATGTGTCCCCATTCTTCCTTTCCTCTGCCAGACCACTTGAATATGCAGACTGACACATACTAGCGTCTAGATGAGGATTTTTGTTTGTTATTACAGAAAAAACTACCCAGAATAAAAGGCAATTCCTATGTAAAACATACAATTATTTTTAAAACATAGTATAGCCATGGTTCTTAAAAGGTCATCTGTTTTCCATATATATGTTGCCTCATCTAAAAGCTTTAGTTTTCATCTCCTTAGAATGCTGTCTGTGCAATGCCCTGCTCTCTTCTTATCTGAAAGTAGTGCCTGCGTGGATGATGTGGTGTTTGAGCGTGTTGAGAGCAGTTTGGTTACTGAACTTAACTGTACTGAAGATCATTATGCATAACACAAGACTTAAGTATTGCAGGTGACTGGAGATCCTTCCCGATCCTGCCTCTTGTTTCTTCTCTTCATTATTCCTCTTGCTGAAATAGAGTTATGTTTCTCTTACATCTGGATGATAAATACGAGTCCAACAACATGCCTTTCAAAATTACGTAAAGATACATCAGTAGCGATACTACAGAAAACACGAAAAGTTAGCAGTGCCTTTTTCCAGTTGTAACGACAGGGGGATTTTTATGAACAGTCATATTGGTGGATTAAAGAATAGATTTGTTTATTGCAAATTGCTCTTGTGCATGTTTGGTGGTTTTTGGCAACAAAAAGATAGATAACAGCCCCTTTGCTTCATACGTTTAACGGTGTTTGTGCTCTATGTGTTGCTTGTGTACGTTCGGGGGATGGTTTTTTCCTTTAAAAGAAAGTTGGACTGCTACAGACAAGGCTGTTAGAAGAACAGAGAACTAGACAGAAAAAAACCCCTGTGTTTGGAAAGCATGGGAAAGAAATTGATGTTATCGTTGATAAGTCTACTGCTTTTGGTGGTAGTTGCCACTCTCCAGACTCACAGATGGCTGTTAGCATAGCTAAAGAGGCAGCATGCAGTGGTCATGGTAGGAACTGGTTAACAGGGGAGAGCCCTAAAGCAAAGCTGGCTTTGCTTTTGGATACTGTTGGAAACTGCATACTCAGTTTTGTAGTTTTTGTTGTTTATAGTGCAGTTATGAAAGATTGAATCAGTGAAATGTGTGGGGTTATAAAAAAAAATAACATTACCTCTTCCTGAAAAGTGGGATTTTTATTTGTTTTTCCCTTATACAATGTAGAATATTGGCCGAGCACAGGGGACAGAAGTCCTGAGGTACCAGAAACAATCAGGATAGGATAGGAATCTTCAGCTGACTTTCTTCACTGGGAAAATTGTAATAATGGATTGCAAGTGCAGACAAACCCATAACAAGTCAAGATATTCTTAGCCCATTGGCATGCAGGAGGTTCCAGGGCGGTCTTCCCACCTCAGTTTCCAGAGTTCATTAGTCTCAGCCACGCCTTGGGCAGTGATTGCATTGCTTGACTGTCACCAAATGGGTACTAACTGTGGCTTTTGTAGATTCCAGAATTTGACAACTTATACCTGGACATGAATGGCATTATACATCAGTGTTCACATCCAAATGATGACGATGTTCACTTCAGAATCTCAGAAGATAAGATTTTTGCTGATATTTTTCACTAT